GTCGGGGGGAGGGGGACAGGCAATTTGAAAGCTTACACAATTGAAAAATGGTTCTTATGTAATTCTTGTGGTTGCATCTATTATCTGCCTCAATGGTTGGTAATAATAAATACTTATTTTCTGAAAATTTATTCCAAATTTCTTTAAAGTCAGCAAAGTCACTTTCTCAGAGTGTGGGTTTTGTTTGTTGCTTATTTATTTGTTTCTTTACAGGAAGAATCACCAAACTTATTCATGACTGGCTTTTAACTGATCCTGATGCAAAAGCTGTTGTTTGATCATTTATTTATGACTAAAAGCTGCTTTAAAAGACATAGTTGCACAATAAAATATTTAAGCACTCTGATAGATCAGCAGGTGAGCAATATGAACTTGCATTAAAGAGAATAGATATTAATGAATAGTCTCTAATATTTTAACCAATAGATATCGGTTTACAAGAATTGCAGATAAACTCTGGATTTATTTATTTATTTTTTTGCCACACACAAAAAAATGCTAGTAATTAATTCAACAAGAAAGCTAATTTATTTCAGTTGTTAGTCATTTTAATTACAGCACTTTGTTACCCTGAGTAAGAAATCATTTTGCTTCTCAGGAATGTTCCCCTCCTCTCCCCATTACGGACAACACCAAACAACAAAACCAGTTGCACCTCTATTTCTAAAGCCCTTGCTTCCCCCAAAATTGGTATTTAGATTCCAACGAATAACTTGGTGGATTCAGCCCCTGGAGGCTATTCACAACCTGATTCCTCCCCCCTTCTGTTGTGTCTGCTGGTGAGTGAAGTTCTCAGGAACAAAACCCAACACTTACAAGACAAAAATAACAGCTGGAAGTTGGCACGTGATTTTGCACTACCTTCCCCTCAGCCCTGGCAAGTGTGACAGACTAATGATCAGGACCTAGAATCCCAAGTCAGTTTTGCAACCCGTGCTCAGGTGCACGTTAGGGTCTGTGAAACCAGAGGTCTCTGTTGAATGACTTTAATTTTATTTCTTTTGGTCGAAAGGATCTGAAAAGGCGACCTACCTCTATGGGTCAGGCGTAACCGGGGCTGAGCGGTGTCAGCTGTGTGCCCTCCCGTCCAGAGCTCCAGGAAGTCGGCCCACAGCAGCCAGGTGAGAAGGGCGCCGGGCGATGCCATGCTGCCGCTCCCCTGCCAGCCCTCCGATCCTCGGTGGCAGGCGGGCTGAGTTTCACTTAGGATTCCCCTCCGGGGGCAGCGCGGGAGAGGCTTTGTCAGAAACCGCACGCCTTGTCATCAGAAAGCACAGTCCCCCAGTGCCATTTGCCAGGCGGTATTTGGATATGCAAAACCTTTCTTTCCCCCCGGACAGTTGTTTACAAGCCCGGAGCAAGAGGACATTCCGAGGAGCGAGTCTTCAGAGCCATGCCCTGCGCTCTCTCCGGGAGCGACGCGGTGGACCCAGGGAGAAACTGGGTTTGCAGTCACTTCTGCCGGCAGTTGGTGCAGCCGGAGCCCCCGGCACACGCGCTGCCTTCCTCCCCCGGGGAGCGCTCCTCGCCGGCTCCCCAGCCTCTCACGGTCCGCCTCTTGCACCGACTTGCCAAACAGCTCGTTTTCATTCACCTTCCGCCCTGCTAATTAAAAACAAGAGGTGCCATTCCCACCAGGAGCTGCCGATCCGCCTGCGGGGATGGGGAGCTGTCAGCGAGCGGAGCCGCGTCCGCGGGGAAAGTTCAGGCGGGGTTGAGCGCGCCGGCTGTTTCTAGGAAGTGTTTCTGCCGCACGTGCCCCGCTCCCCCGCCCTCCCGGGGTCAGGCCCGCCACGCCCTCCGCCTGGAGGCCAGTCCCCCGGTGATGGGGAACGGGGTCGGGAGGGAGGATGGTCTGGAACAGGCGGGCGATTTCAGAATAGGTCACAGAAGAGGATGCTGTGTCAGGGAGGGCTTTTACATGCCCAGTCACCAGGAGTAACCCTTGAATAAATACACATTCACCCTAAGGCCTCCATTGATCACCATCTACTACCAAAATTGATTTATTTTTAGAGTTTCCGCGGATTTTTTTTTTTACATTTATGGCTTTTTATATTGATGACATCTTACAAATGTTACTTTCAGCTCTTATCAGGGAAGTGTGTTTCAAGAACCTGAAAAAAAAAAATGTTCTCTCTCATAGATGTGCGGGAACTAATTATTTCGCTGAGGCAAATTCTTCAGATCAATTCAAAGCAAATCATACATTTTATCTCCAATTTAAGAATAATTCAAGTTTCAAGTACTTTGCTCCTAGATAAGGTAACTATGGTAAAGTTGAGATTCTCTAACCAACAGACCCCCCAAAAAGCAGGTATCAGGAAACTCAGGCTGTGACATACCATAGGGTTCAACTGCTATGCACTTTCAGAGTTTATTTTCCTAGACACTACTTTGTGTAAATAAGCTTAACACAATGGGTCAACTTTACAATCTACTTTCAATCCATCTCAAAAACGAAACCAAACACTCTCTAGCTGTTGGCATGGAAATGAATGGGATTATTTTGAGATACCAATAAACTTAAATAGATATTTGATTTGAGAGTTGAGAGTTAAATGGTAAACAACTTTCAACTATGATTACTTTTTTTTCTTCTGCGATTTAAATGATAATGATTAAGGAGACTTCTTTGAGAGGTATGTTTTTGTTTTTTTAATCATGTGTTATCCTGACATTTTGCATTCTATACAAGCAAATGTAGAGCCTGGCATGCTCTACCCATTTTCCTAAGCATGATATAGTCTATTAAAAAGCAGAGTATATTTAGCAAAATGTAAATGTCACTGGGTATCATAAATAATTAGATTTCCCAGATCTAAAAAAGATTACAAACTCTAAACATTATTTAACAGTAAAGAGACCATGAAGTAGTTAGAGACTTTTAACCTGGGGTGGTCTCTGTAGGCACTTGGATATTTTAGAAGCCAGTCAGATGAGCTACAGAGCGAAAGGCTGTCGTAAATGTGATATACCGCACCTTTGGAATCCTCTTTCATTTTCTTCCAGAATTAAAGTAACCAGAAAATAAATAGCAGTTTTACACATATTATCTAATGGTAGGATTCTGGAAAAGTAAATATGACGCACATAACTTTTATTACAAATATATGGCTGCTCTCATAAAATAAAATCCTACCTAAGATTACAGAGGGCCTGTTATGGAACAGAGGCAATGCAAGATGTATCCCATTTCATTAGGACACAGAATTCACACCATCAAATATCAGTGCAGGAATAAATGTTACGAATGCCAGTTATATACTAATACATACAAGCTCTAAACCAAGATTCATCTTCAGTTTCACATGTTATCCTTCGTCTTAGGTTAACAAGACAATGTGTCACATGCCATAGTAACGAGTTCCTTTGGTTTTCTCAAAATGTGCTTTGGTTTATCCTCTGTCATCAATGTCATTGCTTATTCCCTTTAACTCCTTACTATATCCTCCTACCTTTCTCATTAACCTTTAGAAAACACACAGATGATGCCAAAAAAAAGTGACTATTAAAAAAAAAACAACCAAAACTAAACATCCAGAACTTTCCATGTAATTTTAGCCCCTGTCAATGAAATGAAGAGTCTTTGACACCAAATCTGTCATTCACATCATAAAACAAGAACCCTCAGAAGCAAGGGTAACCATATAATTTGTCTTCCCAATAGGTATGTTTGAGAGTAAAAGAGCCTTCTAGTCATAATTACATGCAAACTAAGAATATTATAAATAAATCAGGATATCAAAGTCACCCTACTTGGCAAAGATTGCTAGGTATCATTGGAAAATATGGAAATGAAAGGACAAAACAAAACAACAACAAACAGTTGACACCACCAACAGTGAATGAAGAGCTTTAGTGATCAGCAGAGCTTTGGTACTAGCAACAATACCTGTTGATATTATTACAGTTGATTTGGAAAGAGCTAGACTACCGGTTTGAATACATTAGACAACATTAAAAAAAAAAAAAGGTGCGGAGGGAAGTGGCAATTCTGAAGGTATT